CGCCGGCAGGTGGGCGGGGCGCGGGAACAGGTATCCAATGAGGGCGAGGAGGCGTGTCCCCTGTTTAACCGCTGCGGAGCCGGAGGGTGGGCGGAAGCAGGTGCTGGGGGTGGTGGTTGTAGCGTGACGGCTGTGGTGTGGGTGGAGAGGGACGTGGGGAGGGGTCCTGCAGGTGGAACGGAGAAAGCGTTTTTCTGGTAATTAATTGTTCATTGATGCGTACAAGTGAAATTTGTTTGAAGGGCTGTGAGCCTGGTTGGGGCAGGGGCTGCCGTGGCGGGTGCTTTCCCGGCTCGTTGCTGGGTTATCAAAAACTTAGATGGTCTTGTTATTATAATTTATAAGAATTATGAATAATTAAAATGGTAGTTTCAATAGTAATTATATAATTAACAGTGACTATTCATAATCGAACCATTTTAATAATCATTCTACATTATGTAAATTATTATGGTTATATAATTACTAATGCCTAATTATTCATAAATAAAATCGCTAATTCCAAGTTACTAATAATTAGATTATACATTATTAGAAAGCTGAAGCTTATTCTGTTACCTGTTGCCAAAGCTAATTGCACACACTCTCTTCTCCAGGTTTGGCTCGCTGAAGGTGCCGGGCATTGCCAGCACCGGTGCGAGGGGAGGGGAACATATGGCCGGGAGCAGAAGGAAGATGGGACTGTGGCAAGTGATGGCTTAAATTGCTTTGCATGGTGAGGCGTTGTGCTGTAGCTTGTACCAGCCTTTCATTTCTGCAGTGTCAACATGAGCTATGTGATGGGCTATGTGGAAAGAAAGCAATCCAGCTTCAAATGAAACCATGACAGCTAGGCAGAGCAAGTCCTTCAAGTAAGGCCTCTGTGTCTCAAGAGAAATATCCAAAAATAGCAGATGTTGGAAATGTTCTTGCCTAAATTGCTCCATCTTTCTGTCCTTTATCTGTAAGTTGAAAAAACTAATATTAACTTGCCTCAGGAAACTTGTGAAGGAAAAACTGCATTTGTGATGCATCCATTACAGTAAGAGCAACCTAAAAACCCAAGGGAAAAATAACTAAATCACATTTCTACTCAGCACTGGTTCTTAATGGTATGTATTCAATAAAGCCCAAGGCTATACAATGAATAATGAGAATTATAAAAGCTTTAAAGTAACAATTCAATAAGCACCATTCATCTTGCAAGCATTATTCATCTTCTGCACTAAAAATATTGGGGGTCTGGTGGAAAAATAAAGTAGTTCTGCAAGCACTGGAACTAAACTTGTCTATGGATTTGGGCCTAAAATTGACTTGTGAGCTCTGATTCAAAGCTGCCTCGTAGCTGCAGAATTGATATGTGCTTTCCCTGCATGGTTTCTCTGACTGAGGGATGGAGTGAAGGATAGTCTGGGGATGCACAGGTCTATTGAGTTTTTCCATCATAATCTGGACAATGCAGAGTTTGCTCATGCAGACTGACCTGGAATAATGCCAATGAAGTTACTTGTTTACCACTCCGGGATTGATGGAGACTTTGTGATGCTAAACAAAGATCTTGTGAATTTTACCAGGAACCTGCTGTTACTCTGATGTCCTTTTAACAGTAACAAAGCTCCTTTCCTTTTCTGTGACTGTATTAAAGACATTCTTCTCTTTCATCTGATTTTAAATCCTCTCAATCTAGTGACTGCTACTTAGACACAACTGAGCTGGCTCCTTGTGAGACAAAATGCTCCAGGACTTCAGCATGGCAGAAACATGGAACGCAACTACTGTACACTTGGAATTTCTAGCAAGTTGAAACTGCCACGTTTGCAGTTGTCACTCCGGTTAATGTGCTCGCTAAGGGCCAAGATATTAAACTAGGCAGTGGCATTCAATCAAGATAATCCCAGTGCAGAAGAGAAAAAGCAAATTCAACTGCAGCAATGCGGCACAGTACCTCCTCAGGACTGCCAGTGCCAAGTGCCAATTAATTTTATTAGGCAGTAAAAGCCCTTTTCCAGACACTGCTGACATAGGACAGAAAGCTAATTTTGCCTTAAACTACTTAGAGTTGAAGGTTAAAGGTAACATGCAGACAGGTGAGGATTATCAGTCAGAAAGATTGAAATCATTGGTTATTAGACAAGTGATGCTGTTTTGGTGACTGTGCAGTCCAACCATTATAACATTCTTCAGGCACATGAATTTTAAGAAAGGCTCTGAGATCAGTGAAGTAGATCAGCAAATTTTTATAGGTTTCCCTTACCAAAGCAAGCAGCAGCATGACAGCGAGACAAATCTTGCATGAAAATTGGCGTGAGGTGGCAGTGGCTGATGGGATGGTCTCTTTTCACACTCCATTGATTTCGGCTCTGGCTTGAACTCTGTTAAACTTTAATGTCAACCTAAGTTACTAAGTGACTTACTCTGGGAAGACTTAACCACTCTTCAGAAACAACTTTCAAGTACAGAAAACCCCAAAATCTAAAAGGCCAACTCAATTTTGGCAGAAGACTGAAAACTAGATCCAACCCTCTGAATACAACAATTTTAAGCCACTAGTTGGAGGTACTGCACAATGTTATTTGCAGCAGCTGTGGGAAGAGTTTGTCTCTGTTGCTGTGGCCTTTCATGGAAAACTCCTGGAGAATGTCACACAGAGAGGAACAGTAGCACCTCAAACAGTCAAGCTAGAGTCACAGCCGAGAAATTTCTGTTTCATCAACACAGAGCTTTTGTGTAGATTCCATAAGCTGTCGTAAAACCAGAGCACTTTGGTTGCCCTGTCAATGAATCCCTGGTTTTATTAATTATGTTATTAATCATATGTTTACTGCTTTACACTGTTTTGCCCATCTTCATCATAGCACTTATTTCCTCTATAGCATGCCTGCACCTTTCCAGAAATCTGTGAATCTGGAAAACTTTCCTTTTCACAGCAACTCACAAAGCATTCAGAAAGATCAAGTCGATTCTTATATCATTTAACCCTTAAAAGCAATATGTAATTGCAGAGAACCTCACAAAATTCATCTAAGAGGTATCACCATGAGGTACACTACTTAAGACACTACTGGTTCCTGGATTCCAGTCTCCCCAGTTGCTGGCATCTGGACATATGATCCCCCGAGGACCCCTCTATTTCCCACGCTTGTTTTTCCCCAAATCACCTAAATCCCTCCTTTTCCACACCATTGGTTCCTCCCCTAAACATTCCATAATAAGTCCCTTGCAATCCTAAAATGCTTCTCCCCTGCATCCCGTAACGAGCAGCACACCCCCGAGGCAGTAACCCCCTGTAGTCCTGGAGAGTTATTCCCAAGACACTTTGAGGAGTTTCACGCGTGGACCCTGGGACTGATGGCCCTGCTGGGATAGCCCTGGGAAAGGGACACTCCTGGGAGCCTGTACCTTGGGACATCACCTGCCATTGTCCCCTGTGCTCCTTTGGGCTTGTGGAGATGAGTCTTTGATGGGCTGATGGGCCCTGGGAGGAGTAGCTGGGCTGGGTATTACTTGGTCTTCCCTACCACTGTCTCCCCATGGGCACACACACCAGCTTTTACCACATAACTTAGCAATATGTGCTCAATGACATCTTTCTACCACCTAAAACTGAAAGCTTGGGGAAAAAATAAACCCACATTTCTAGCAAATGCGCTAAGGATACCACCCTATTGGGATTAGCCTGGCTTCTTGGCTTGCATTAAAACACGAGTGTGGAGGAACGGTTGCATCTGAAATGAACTTGCCGTTCTGGTTTACCAACATATTATTTACTAATTACAGCATAAGGATTGCAAATTGCAACAAATAACCTTGCTTAACGCCACTAATGTGTCATTGCCAGCAAACTTGTGACGTTCCTGTGTGCGTTAGTGTTTCTGACAGCCTGCGCGGCAGCTAGGCTTTGCAAGTACATGAAGGGGCTACAAGGAAGCTGGGGGGGACTTTTTACAAGGGTCTGTAGTGACAGGACAAGGGGTAACGGGTTTAAATTGAAAGTGGGGAGGTTTAGATTAGATATCAGGAAGAAGTTCTTCCTGGAGAGGGTGGGGAAGCACTGGAACAGGTTGCCCAGAGAATCTGTGGATGCCCCAGCCCTGGAAGTGTTCAAGGCCA